TATATATAACACTGATTGGGATATTTTTATATCGACTAGGCTTCTTTTATTTTTGCATTTTGCTTATAGAATTCTAAAATGCAGGCTGTCTATTACACAAAAGGAAATATTTGTTGCGCACTAATACAATTTAATGCAATGTACATATTATGCAGTACATTTATTCAATAACAACCATATAAGCACCGGTTACTTTGCAGATTTTATATTAATAATATAACATCTTGTGTCCTTAGCCCATGCTCATTCTGCAAGTCTATACCTGTTACATGTATTATGTGTTTTTTTTGGCTGAGTGTGTGTGTGTTTGTGTGAGGAGGTTACTACTTGTTCCTTACATGTGGTTAAAGGTCTGGATGCGCCCCTGCATCAGTACCCGGTCTCGGAGTGGCATCTGTCAGGTCTGGATCTGCTCCAGTTGACCTCTCGGGAACTGGAAAAGTTGGGCATGCACAAGATCGGACACCAGGAGCTCGTACTGGAGGCCGTGGAGAAGCTCTGCTCTCTGGTGAGCGAGGATGCTGAATCATGTGTGTGTGATACAAGCAGTGCTTTGTGTGTGTGTGTGTGTGTGTGTGTGTGTGACTGAGTCTTGTGTTGTTGTATATTTTCTGACACCAGAGAGAAAGGATGTGTTTTTCCCACCACTGTTTTAGATGCTACTGTGGGACAAATCCATCACATAGCTCTTTTTTCCAATTGCTTCACTTTTCTATCAAGTTGAAAATTAAAATCCCCCCTTGACAAGCATATATCAGAGTAAACTTTATTTTTCTAGCCAACTTCAACCATTAGTCATGCTTCAATCACAACCAAAGCGGGTTTTGAATAACAAAGCTTCCACTTAATACTTTACATGCAAATTTCTGCGACAGTCGACTAAAAAACACACATCCCTCTCCCCTTTCATTCTCTGTCCCGTTCTCCATCGCCTAATTAAATTTCCTCCCTGTCCAGTTTCGAGAAGGAGTTTTAGGACACTTAAATAGCCGTGTTGGTGTGTGCGTGTTTCACTGGAAGGACTAATTGAGCTGGACAGTACCAGGCAAGCCTCCAGCTCCGGTGACGTAACGACATCAGACTAAAGCTTAGGCTGCTTAAACTGCCTGTTGTCGAATTATTGAAATAACTGTAACACACATTGAAATTATCATTAAAAGCATTAAAAGTTCAACCCAGCGTCTGGTTGAGTGTGTAATACATTTGTTTTCCTGCAGTTAAAGCTGAACACGAGTACACTTGTGTGAAATTGTTTTACATAGGACAAAATAACAGAACCCATACACACCTGTACATGTACTGCATGTGTGGGTGGGTGTGTGTGTTAGTCTGCTTCTCTTTCTCTCCCCCTCTTGTCCTCGATGCTGCGTGAAGCGCTAACACTGTGCTCATTCATGAAAAGCAGCCGTCAGACGCTCACATGAAACAGCACAAACACATTCAAGTGCACAGTTACATAATTAACAACTACAGTGTTTGAAAGACCATGAAAAATTCATGACCACTTGTGGAGGTGGATTGTTCCGGGCGGGTCGACGCGTAACAACAAAGCCCGACTGGTCCAAAGCTCTTGACCAGCTGTGAGTGGGTCACGACAACAACCTGCTCCTCCTCCAGTGGCCGTCATGTCCTCACATCTCATGTGGGGCCAGAAAACTGTGATAACAGACACATGAAATACACAAGTTTAAAGACCTTTAGAGTATTTCAGTTTTATTTAATCTCTCTCCCACTTTTAATTCGTTACCAGTAAGTATCAAGTTTGTGAAGCCTTTTTCATTTATGCAGCACGGGGGGGTTAATCAAATGTATAAATTGTGTTACAATCCAGGGATGCAAACTTCTTAGGCTGTGTTAAACATGAAGGCTGAACTGAGATGGTCCACAGAGGATTTCTGTGATTTGTTTCACCAGCTTGTCCCGCCCCTTACTGATGTCGCCTAGCATCAGTTCTGCAATCGACCTGACAAGAAAGTTTTAGTCGACTGTTAATTAGTTGAGTTGAGGCCTGATACTTACATCAAAAAATGTAAGCATCAGATGTCACAATGAATTAATGACTCCTGGGATAGTTTGATGCCAAGAAGGATCCAGCTGTTAGAGCCACGTTGCTCGGTGATTAAAGGACTCAATTGTCGGCTTCCCTCAATCTCAAAACATGAAGGCATGATAGAGTTGACTGGATTTGCCAAAAGCCAAATATGGCTGTATGTTTTCTCCTCAGTTTGTTGATAGATTTTCAATAACGAACTGTATCACAATATATATTATCAGGTTTATGTTTTAAAGGTCCAGTGTGTAGAATTAAGTGACATCTAGTGTTGAAGTTGCATGTTGCACCTGATTACCCCTCACCTCACCCTCCCCTTCCACACAAAGCTGTAGTTGTCATTAAAACTCAAAAGATGTTGAGTTACTGTAAAAAAAACATGGCGGCCTCCGTAGAGAGGACCCGCTCCTGATGTAGATAAAAAGTACTTCAATATAAAGGGTAGATTCTAGTGTAAAGAAAACAACAATTCATACAATTTAGAAAATTCCCTCTAGTGAAAACATTACAAGGATTATTTTATATTCAATTCACCTAAATCTTACACACTGGACCTTTAAAACATAACCCTCATTGTAAAGATAAACAAGCATCTTAACAACCAGGCCTCTGCTTCCTGCGAAGTGAGGGACAGAAAGTCAGGTGAAAACAGACTGAGGATGTGTCACAGGGTTTTTCCGGAGAGGACTTCTTTTTTTTTCTTTTCTTTAACCAGTTCCATGTGTGTGTTTTCGGTGGTGTGTGCTCTCCAGACGTACGGCATAGGTGGAGAGAACCTACGTGGTCTCACAGAGAAGCTGCGTGCCGTCGCCCACACCCTCCAGATGGGCATCCAGAGCCGCTGGCGCCGCAACAGCTACGATGGACGCAGCGCCACCAAGCTGTCTGCTGGAGTTCTGCAGGTTGTTGTGGAGCTCATCACCTCTGCCAAAGGACTCTTCTTTCTGCTCAACAGGTTTGTAAAGTGGGGGGTTATCTAACTGTTACATATGCAGCACTCGAAATCCACTTTGACCCCCACAGTTGTTATTACTCAGAAATGTTCTGTGCTGTGTCTTATAAAAATAGTTCCTACTGTGGTTTTTGATGCTGTGGGTTTTTTGTGAAAAAGGAAATTTACAGGTGTATTCTTTACTGTAAATAAGAATGTTTTGGTGTACGCACTGACCTATTGTTTACATGGTGTCCCCTGTAGCTAAAACCTGCTAATTTCCTTTCCAGGTATCAGTTTTTGCAGTTAAGTGGATACACCGCCACCAAGAACATATTCAGCTACTGCAGAGAGCTCGGAGAAATCGTCAACAAGGTCTGTCCATTTACAGCTTTGACATATGCAAATGGTTTAGAGACGGACCTTTGGTTAATTTACAGTATGTGCGAGCGAGGGGGGGCGATAAAATATTTGGCTTCTTGTGAGAGGTCAACTTTGATGAACTTGGACCTGTGATGTTCACCTCACATTCACATGTGTGTGACCGTACCCTTATGCAGTTAAGTACATATACAGCTCCTCTGTGCTTGTCTATAGGGCTGATAGGGCCAAAAATGACATCAGGATAATCGGTAGTGATGAATCGATCGTTGATAAATGTCAGATTTTCTTCCCGAGTGAAGGTTATGGTTATAAACTCATCTTTACGGGCAGAGAATGACCAACACTTAGATCATTTCGATGTTATGCATCCTCGCTGTGCTTGCACAATGCATAAGAAATAAATCTTGGACTTCTGGTATATCGCTATTGAGGTATTGCAATAATGCTTTATTTTTTTTGCCCTTCCCTAAATCAGTCCATCTGATATTTTTTTAATCAAATGGCAAAACTGGATGCACACTGAATGCATTTGTGAAACTTTAGTTAATTTTACTTCACACGTGTTCACACTTATCTTTAAGAGGAACCATGTTTCTGGTGTTATTGTTGTGCCCACTAAATTTCCAAAGAGGAACTACAACCTTTGATTTCTTTTTAAGTCAACCCCCTTGTTGTAAAACGCAACAAGAAAAACAGAAGCACAAACTCCCTCCCTGTTCTTCAGTTGAGTAATGCATTCTTTATCTTTACATTCCTGGCATATTTCAAGGTGGCTAAAAGTCGAGGATGCTTAAGTTTGCAGGACTTTCAGAGAAGGGAGAGCAGGGGTTTAGTTTTGTGTTTTTGACTTTGTGATGATAGGGAAGTGTGAAACCAAAGGAGGAGGAGGAAGGAATATTCATAACTGGGTGTATGTAAAGTGGGGTAGAAAGTTTTCTAGGGCTGCTCAACAGACAGGCCTGGATCTGTTGTAGTGCCTAGGGGAGGGAGGGAAGGTGGAAGGGAGGGAGAGAGGGGAGGGCAAAGGAAGGCAGAGATAGAAGGAGGAGGAGGAGGCTGAGAGAGGGATTGCACCGGCAATGTTAAATTACTTTTGACTCGTGGGGGAGTGTGCGTTATTCAGCAGAGAGCAACAGGCAGAGAGAGAGAGAGAGAGAGGCTGTCAACTCTGGAACAACACGGCAGTGACATTAGAGATGAAGAGGATGACAGGAGCGAAGACGACAAACGGGGATAGAGCTACAGAGTGAGCTTTAATCAGACAGAGGCAGTAATAGGTGGAGTTTATTTATAACACTACTATGGTCAGCTCTGGATGCCTGCCCAGCACCACAGGTACAGTTTTCACCTCTTTGATTGGATAACTCTCCCACAACCTGATGCTGCTTTTTTCTCACTATGCTGGACTGGTTAAAATATCTTAAACCAGCACTTAAAGATCTTATATGTATATGTAGGCCTATGTTATTCACTTTGTGGACTTGTGTACTTACATTATTCAAAATGTTTCTGACAATTCAGAGCCCTGGAGAAATCCTCTGTTTTTAATTTGCTTCGTATCTACTTGACCTGTGGTGTTGCTCATATCTGCTATAACTTCTGCTGCAAACAACTTATTACAAAGGAAAAAGCTATATTCAATACCCTTCAAACCTCACTTGAGAGATACTGCACAAGCCATAAGAGAATAGTCTGAACCAGATTTTGCAGTTTCACATTTCCAGTTTCACAACACCTGCTATTCAGGGGAGTTGCAACAAGCCTACGGGACTTTCGTATCGGTCTCTGTGCTGGTGTATTATAACAGTCCCACTATTCTCATGGACTTCAGGAAGGAAACAAGTATTACAGAGGAAGATTTAGCCTGTTGACTTTAATGGGATGTTCTTTGGAAGTGAATCAGATTTGGGCCTGTGGAACTTTGTTTTCATTCATCGAGTGTGAAGTGAATGGTATGTAAGTTAAAACCTTCACAGCTTTTGTTTGTAGGCCCTCTCAGAGGTTGATCATCGTCTGGCTATTGTTTGCTCTATTCCTGTTTTTGAACTTTGTGCGTGCAGGTGTTTGAAAAGGTGAGTGTGACCAGTCCAGAATGAAGGACTTTTGCGTTTTGTCCACTGTATTCAGGGGTCATGTAAATTCAGTGTTGACGTGCTGACCTGTTGAAGTGAAACGTGTTGGCGACTCATTTTCTTTGGACTTCCCCTGGTCTCAAGCTTTGCCCATTGAATTTATTCAAGGTTTGAATTACCATTGTGAATAATTCCATTCACAAAAAAGATTGTAATGGATATAGTTGTTTTTGTTATTGCTGGTGATGTGTAGTTTCACCAAGGTTTTTACCGCTGACTGTTTATTTGTTGATTGGATTGTTCGTTTGTTAGAAAGACTACTGCATGGATTTCCCTCACACTTGGTGGATGCATGTGTTGTGGTTCAGGAACGAACCCATTACATTTTGTTATGGCTCCGGATCAGGGGACGGATCCAGGAATAACTACATATGGCGTTTTATGACACTTTCACTGATTGCCAATGAAAATTACTCATGTACCTTGATGGAAAAAAAAAATCATTTAGGGAACTGACATCTATGAGTGCGTGCAATTTAGTGCAGCCTAATTCAATTTAAGTGAACTGTTGTTCATTGGCGGAGGAATGTGCTCGACTCTACAGAGGCATGCATTTGAGTTATTAATTAAAAAGCTTTGGCAGATGAGTTAAAAGGTCAGATATGAGCAGGTGTTTTGAAGAGACACGAGGAAATGAAAAATCCTTACACGTCATCTATCTAACTGTCATCATAGTATTATCAACCTGCAGAGGATCACTTTGTTTCACACACGCTCAACAGCTCAGTCACATTACATTAGCTTATATGTACTATACCTTAGCAATGACATCATCAGCATTGCATTTACCAAACCATTTATACAGAATTACACACTTGCGTCACCACAGCTAGTCAAAGTCAGCCCCTGGGGTGTTTGAGGTCCGTGTCACCCCCAACCCGTGACATGTGGCGGGCCGTCAGGAGGGCCACGACTTCATCATGACGTCTTTTTTTATCTAGAACTTGCATTCTCAAAATGCACACCACATCCTCCACCTCAAAAGAAAAGGGCTCTTATTTCCTGTTTGAGAGTGTGTGTGTGTGTATGTGTGTGTGTGTGTGTGTGTGTGTGTGTGTGTGTGTTTCTTCTCACACCCTGAGGTCAGCAGTCAGCTGGTGTTGTTGGGATCCCACACTGAAGTCGTCAGGTCTTCACAGTAGCACACGTTTAGTCTGCTTTGAACCAGCCGAGCAGCAAGAGAAGTTCCGGAGAAATAGACAGGGGAAAAAGAAAAGTGCGTTTGAACCATGAACTCGGATCAGAGAGGGAAATGAATTTGGAAGCATTATGTGAAGGTATGTGATATAAATCATAGTTCTTTAATAAAAGAAAACAGCTAAGAAATTGCTTTTCTGTTGCAAAATCCAACTCAAGAACCTCCAGGTGAAAATATAACTGAGAGATGTTAATGTTTAAGGACTTCATGCTTCAGTGACACGTCTGTGACTGCTTGTTTCTTTCAATGGCATTTGGGTTGTGTAACGTTTTTCTTTAACAGTGAAGATATTATAATGGACAACAACATGTGACAACGAAACAATCAACACGTTCACTGAATTCGAGCTGCTATCAGATGACCCATTAAAAGTGCAAGAGGGAGAAAATCATAAGAGGCTTAAACACAGACAGGACAGATTTGTTAAAAAAGAAAAAAAAAAGAGGGCTTAGAGGCGTCAAACATGTGAGTGGTTTGAAGGGGAATGATTTTTATTATGTGTGGGGCTGAAAACTAAAAAAAGAAAGAGCACGAGCTAAATATAAGGCTGAAGAAAGACAACATGGCAGGAGATGGAGGAGGAGAAAATAAGAGTGAGATTTGGACGGAAAGATGAGGAGCAGGTGTTAAAGAGATCTAACATGGTAACAGTATGTCTCCCAGTCTTTTTATAGCAAGTCTGTGACCTGGTGGCAAATTATCTACTGGTCAAGTCCAAGTATATGAACAAGCTGGGATGACAGGGCCTGACTTTAAGGCTTTGATATTGTGTATTGCGTGCATTGAGCTGCACAAAACAAAAAGAACAGAACTGGATCTTTGTGCCTATAATCAGTGAACATGCATGTACTTTGTGTGTGTTGTTGTATGTTTCTCTGTTAGTTCAGCCGTTGTGTATGTGTGCATGTTAGCGTCCATGCATGATTACACACATACTTGCGTCTCCTTTCTTTTTCAGAGCGCTACACCCACATAATAACTTCCCTTTTGTCTCCTAGACGAGTATACAGGGAACTGCTGTCAGGCACAAAGCGCCGCTGTAAAGTTAGCTCACCGCCTGATCAAGCCGCACACCGTGCTTCACAACAACACAACACAAGACCTTTCTTTAAATCAAGCGAAGCAGATGCATGCTGCTTTGCAGTGCAGCAGAGTGCAATGAAATGAATACTTTTCATCTTGACAACACTGGAGGTCCCTGATGTTATTTGCATTAAATGAATTTCTATGTGTGATCGCGGCATAACCTGCAACGGCATAAACGGTCAATCAGAGGTGATATCTTCTTTTGATCACAATGACATTTACTGATACTTGTTTCAGTCACTAAAAGGCCAGAGCTGCAGTTTGTCTGTACGTTTCCGCCCTGATATCTGATCCTGGGCCTCTTGTTATGGTTTAGTAGTAGAACTGAGAACGGTTCATCACCACAGAGCCTGCTCTGATAGATATGAGAGTTTATCTCATGGGGCAAAACCTGAGGGGTTCCTGTAGAAACAGTAGCAGTCGTTTTCCAGTGAACTATTTATTAATATTAATATCTTATTGAGAGCAAAATGAATAGAACAGGGTCTGCAAGTGGAGTGGGGACATGCTGGAGGCTGTAAGGAGCTAAACATGTCTCCTTGTGTCTCCTGTCCTCTTGTGTGTCCCCCTCCTCCTTCTCACATGGCTCTGCGTCAGCAATCAAAACACCATGACCTCTGCAAATGCATCATATGCTGTGTGCAGATATCTTGTAATTGTGTAATATATGTTCAAACTGATGGGACATGTGACAGATATTTTGTGAATGAGGAATGTAGCGTATCTTTTGTTTAAAGGATTTTCATAAGAGATGTGTTGAGCATTTGTTAGATAACCCGATCCCATGTGCATACATTTGTGTTTGAGAGTCTACAGAGACACAATGTCTCTTTGTGTCCAGAGGTCGTCCTCACCGTGAAAGCAGTGAGAAGAGTCTACTCTGCTGTTTTCCCCCCATGCCCCCCCCCCCCTGATCAGTTTCAGTGCAGAAGTGTACCTGTCGCCCACTTCACGCACATGGCGGTGTCATTTCCTGTTCTGGCAGAGTTAGAAGAGAAATGGGGAACAGGTTGTGGAGTTCTGCGGAAGCTTCCTGTGACAGTGCTGCATGTCCAAGAAGCTACGGTGAAATGCTGGAAAGAAAAAGGTGTAACGAGAGGCAAGGGCAGAAGTGATAGTAGATGGTTTGAGGTGGCAACAAGTTGAAATGTCAGCCTCTATTAGCAGAACTGTTGGATTTGGTCAGGTCCTAAGAGTTTCTGCTCAGGGTATTAACCCTTATTTCAGGATTTACCCACCTGCCTAAGGGAACCCCAATCTATCTCACTGTTATCTCACATTACTAGAAATGATATGTTCTTGATTAGACGGTAAACATAGAGCGACTGATTTTTTGCTCCTGCGGGGATCGAGATAAAATGTAAATACAGAAGGTTTTGCAGTATCTAATAGTAACACCAATAGAGCAACACTTAGAAAACAAACACAGGTTGATGTGAGCAGCAGCAGCAGCAGCAGCGGTCATCACAGAAACCTCTCACAGTCCTACCCCTCCCTCTGGCCTTGTGTCACAGCCTTTAATTAGCCCTCAAATCCAACCCAGCTCACTGTTGATCCCCTGTTACATTTCACAGGGATTAGTTTCCCCTTACGATCCTTTATGTAGCTCACACATCATCGAGCATTACGAATTAGCTTATAGGCAAGTGATGTGACTATTAGTCTATTCAAAAATATTCTATAACACCATCCCCTCCATCTTAATCTGCTTCCACATCTCTCCAGCTCAGACGCCTCATGTAGGAGTATTATCAACACTCCTTTCCTCCCAGAAACCAGAGGTTAAACAATTTATTTCCACTGTGAATCTGACTTCTTCCATACTTGTGTTTGTGGTAGTTGCACACATGCATACTGTACATTGAGTGTGTGTGTGTGCATGTGTGGTGGTGCGGATTAGTGTGAGTCCCTGGATTAGTTGGACCTTGCTCATCATTAGACATGTCACTCCCCTGCTGCGCTGCTAAGATCTTAGAATATTTGTAATGTTTTATGTATTTATTCTTTTCTATGTGTATATACGTGTTTTAAAAAGCGCTTTAAATAACAATAGAGGTCTGGAAATGTGCCTTCTTTTGCCTGATACCAGCTTTTAGTTCCGGACTCATGCTGTGAAGAGGAAATAGGACAGAGTTTTGAGCCAGTTTGTCCTAATTCCACAAATCAATATCATCATTATATACCGTAGGCTGCTTGTGTTGTGTTGGTATTCTGCTCTGACACTCATGTCGTGTCACTCGTCCAACAGGATTCCACTGTCTATGACAAGGAGAAGGACATCATCTCTGTAGTAAGTGTGATATTTACTTCTGTGGTTTAAAATGTCATTTAAATGTAGTTTGTTTTAAAGTGCATGTGTAAACTGCAAATTGACTTCCCCTCGGAGTAAAAGGTTTTTGTGTTTCAATCACCAGTGCCGTCAGTTAGTGGAGGTGTGCGATCAGATCCTGAACTCCAGCGCTGAGACGCTTCTTACCCACACTGCTCAGCTCGAGAGCATTGACCTCGTGACTGTGTCACCTGGTGATCAGCTGGTAAACACACGCTCCTGACATTTTGCTCAGTCTTTATAAATCTTAAAAACCTTTTCTGTGCTGTACATTATTATCTAAGTTATTTTAAAATTTCTGTTTTTTGGACTCTCATTTTTACAAAATGTGAAACACAAAGACTTTAAATCTGTTTGTCACATCTGTGCAGCATCTTTCCATCTCATCATTATTATCATCATTTTTAAAATTACCTACCCAGTGAACAGTGAACTCATTTTTTCTGTGTCTCGTTTTCTCTCACTCTCTCTGTCACTTTCAGTATTCATTTTCCGCCTTCATCACTGCCTGGACGTTTTCATCCCGCTCGCTTCCACTCATCACTTTTTTCATCTAACTCAAGGTTCTCGCTGAACCAATTTCTTTTCTTTCTGCTCTCTCACAAACATGCTCTCACATCTAGTGGCTGATAGACAACTCTTATTTTCTGCTGCCTCTTAATGTGCGCGGTCTTAATGACTTATCCTTCAGTTGGTGCATTGAGTACAATCAGAACTCTCTTCTTAGCCTGTTATCTGCATCATCTAGTGTTTTTTTTACTTTATTACTTTCTAAAGAGCATTTTTGTTCAATGCATTTGTCTAGTTTCCTTCCTGTTTGAGTACTCAGTTCAAATCTTCTTCAGTGTGTTGTCTTAGCAACGAATATTCAAGTTTTTAGCCGCACTTCATCACCTATGATGGCGTAGTGAAATGTGTAAGAGGAGTGGGGTTTAGCTTTTTTTTCAGAGTCGCTATAATTTTTTTTATAATTGTGCTTAACATCGATCAACAAAACCTGATAATCCTTAATTGACAGAGAGGAATTGATTGGACCAAATCACAGATAACGAGGTCTGTCCTCCTAAAGATTGTTAGCGGAACTAAAGACAGGAAGGGAAATGAGCGGCAGGAAGGATTATAATTGTACAAACACTAAATGTATGGAACATCATGTTCAATTCATTCACTCATTAACAAACTAGTTTTTCTTCTTATTTCCATCATATACAAATTTAAACAAAAGAAGAGTAACCGTCAAGGTTTGTGAATGTTTGAAATATTTCAGACTCTGCTTCTTTCCCGGCATATATTGATGGTAAATGTCTTAGTTTAAGCTCAGGCAGTGAAATTATAACTGGGTAGTTAGCATAGGTGATGAACAGCTAATTACATTATTTAGTTGTACAGTTTTCTCTGGGAATTGTAGTTCCCAAATACTGCAAATTGTTTTGTCCTCAAAATCCATGAAAAATATTGATACATTTTTAATTTATAGCATTTATAAGCACTAAATAACATTCAATAAATATGTTTTATGCTATTATTTAGCTGAACCTAGCAGAATTTTTCTCAATGGAGAATTACAGATGTAATTACTTGATGCATTCGCATTAATAATCTGTTTATACACCAGCCTCTTCATATGGCTTATATCTGGTTGAGGCTACAGTACAGTTTTATTAATTCTGAGCCATTTAAATGTATGAATACAACCTATGAATGCTAATTGAAGAGTTAACATAACGTGTTACCATTGCCATTACATTGACTCATGTAAGATACTGTAATTTCATGACATTATCAGTTTTAAATTCAAATGTTATAGCCTCAGATTAAAAAAAATATTTGATAACCAAAACTATTTTCAGGAAATAAGTAGACAGATAATTAATTATATATTCTATGTTGGAATGTGAGAATTATGTCTGACTGAAATGAAAGTTTAAATCTATCTATGTATCTGTTGTTCTGTGAGATGTATTGATCGTGTGATCAGGCCTGATCTGGATTGTGATTAGTTGGCTCTCCCCACCCCCATTAGACTTAGAATAGTCAATCAGAGCAGCCTGATGGGTAATTACAGGATGAACCATCAATTCGTCTGGAGACAGACATCGACATTTCCACAGACAGAGCAATGTACATCGTGATGAATCATTTTCACACAGTGATGCAACATTTACGCTCTTACTATGTGCAGATGAATCAGTCTGAAGTGTCAATAACATAATAACACAGTTTCTCTTTCTCTCAGGGGATTGAGATAACGTCCACCGGCTCCAGTAACCACTACGTGACCGGCACCGCTGCTGAGGTCAGTTTATTTTTCCTTTCTTTCACCGTGACTCACAGACCACGCAGAATTAAACATCACTGACATCTCAGCGCTCTTGACCAATCCTCTGAGGAGCAGAGTGACTTGAACCTCTGCTCCTCTTCAACTGCAGAACAAAAGTACCACTACAGTTTGTCTCTTCAGAAGAGGTTACAGCGGGTTACTGTGTTTCATTTCAGTGTTTCAGTTCTGTCTGATGTGTCGGAGAGTAACAGGTAACAAGTTTTATCTCTGTGGGTCAGGTGTGGCTCAAATGTCTGCAGGATATCACACACAGTGCACTTGTTTGCGCAGGCATTGCACTTATCCACCTGGGTCTCTCTGGGAATGTTTGCAGTTTTGCAAAGCAGAAATTAATGTTCATTGATAGAATTTCCTTTTCTGTCATTTTTTAAAGAACAAGTGAACTCTCTTTTTTCGTATTTTATTTTATTTGGTGGTTGATTTTGAGTAGCAGTGTACAATGCCGTCTTTCTCTTTGAGCCCTGCTCTGCACGGTTTCATTTGATCGTGAAAGCATGAGCTCTGTACCAGGCAGAAATCCCATTGAAAGTACTTTTGTGTGACACTTTATTTTTAGCCGTTGGCTTAGCTCCATTTATTTTATTGCCTTGAAATTAAACTCAATCAGTGCCATTGTACTGCAAATATTTAGTATTTATAAACACCCATGAACGGCTTCTTGTTCCAAATGCTGCAGACACATGTAAACAATCAGTGCATGAAACCTCATGCCTCACAATATCTATGTATGTGCATTAGTTGCATTTGTCATCTGGGATTTTTAGATTTACATAAAGCAACAGAGGAATTATGACTTTAAAAGTGGTGAATTACTTTTGTCTGTTTGTTTTTGTTAATTTTAGTCAAATGCATAAACGCTCATCTGGGAAAATTAAATCTTCCTGTAGAAGTAGCACAGATGCATGATTTTCTGAGAGACATGTCTGAGATCAGGGGGCTTGTAAAATAAACAAGCGAGGGGTGGGAGGACGGAGGAGTTATTTATCAGACAAAATAAGGAGGGCTTGTTATTTGGAGATGTTGCTTTTCCATGATGTCAGAATTAAAGCACCCTGGACTCTCCTGCTACTGCAGTTGCATCAGTCGATTCTTAAAAGTGGACGTGACCACCAACACACACACACACACCATGAATGTGGACATGTTGTGTGTGTGTATGTTTTCTTATGTGTGTTGTTTCTTTCTCCTTTTGCAGCCTTCGAATGATGATGTCTTCGTGAGGATCTTGGCTGGTGATGAAGTGATTCAAGTCAACAACCAGATAGTAGTGAGTGATACAATGGTGGAGGAAGTACTCAAACATTTAAAGTCAAATTAAAAGTACCACATTGACTTTTCTACTTGTAAAAGTACCTGCTTTTAAATACACTTAAAGTATTACAACTAAAAGTACTTGCAGCATGAATCCGATTCCCTAATGCTATGGGCTACTGCAATATGATTGAGTCTCTGAAGTGTTTCTTCACCAATGATGGATCAATGGAACAATTCCCCTCTCATTATTGATTGCTTTTAAAAATATATATTTTTTAATTAAACAAGACTTAATGCATTGTACAAATATAGTGGAGTAGAAAGTATAGATATTTGCTGGTATATGATGTGAAGTAAAAGTGAAAAATACATCTTCTGAGATTTAATCTACTTTACTACTGGAAAGTGAAGATACATGAAGAATATACTCAAGTTCAGTAATGAAGTAAATGTATGTACAGCACACAGACCTGTCTTTTTGTTGCACTGTTTATCTGTGGTCCTATATTTTTGGCTTTACAAAGTAAAATCAATTGTAACCTAAATACTGGAATATTAATCTGTGTGTCAGGTGGGCTGGAGCAGAGCAAACCTTGTGAAGAAGCTGCAGGAGAATCCCAGTGGAGTGACTTTGCTTCTGAAGAAGATCCCCGGCTCAGTGAGACACAAAGACCAGGTCCCACAAGTCACCCTCACACAGGTCAGGGATCTCTCAACTCCACTCACCTCATATCTCAACCAAAGTGAGCAGATTCAGATGTTATAGCCACAGTGTCAGTTCAGGCAGATCGCAAAACCAAGCTGAGCCACAATCCAGTGCACCAGCTGACAGCAGCAGATCACCTTCACTGCCATCCTCACTCAGACAGAGCAGTGGAAAGGAACCATGCATATCCACGCTGTGTACCAGGATACAGTATTACCACACAGAGACAGGAACAGTTTCTGGAGTGGAAGTTTCGAGCCTGTGGGTTTGAAAACCCAAACTGGTAACTTCCCAATCATCTGTGGAGCCATTACACACCAGAAGAAACCCCAAGCCAACAGTTTTTATTGTTGCACACATATAATTTTAATTATCTATCACTCAGTTTATGATAATTACATCCGGGGGCGAAGCATCAAATCGTCCTTCAGAAGCTGGATCGTTGCAGCTTATGTCGAGGGAACCTGAACCTTCTCTACCATTTCCGTTTAACATCACTGAGGATCCGTTTCCATAAACACTTGCTGTAGTCACTATGCCGACTGTTGTTTGTCTACAGACCCACTGAGCATTTCACATCCCCTTGTGACCAATACCATGTTAATCTCAGATGTAGCTGGTAGCGGAGAGTGTGAGGGATGTGAATCAGCTGTGTGTCTTTCCTCCTTACTGCCCTGACAAGATAACCACTGACTGTGTATGTGAGCGTGTGTGTGTGTCTGTGTGTGTGTGTTGTTGACTCATATCCTGAGCCCTTGAGTGTGCGGACGGAGACCTGAGGAGAAGGCACCATTACGATCCACATCACACCCGCCTCCCTAACCCTCCATTATCTCACAAGGATACACACACACAGAGTTGGATGTGCACACTAACATACCTGGTTTTCTTTTGATTTCTTTTCAGAAAGAGGAAGAGGAGGGAGACGAGAGGTCCGGGGAGGAGGAGGAGGACGAGGAACAGGAGGAGGAGAATCCAAGGCACTCCATATTTGAGAGGGTCGCAGCTTCGGTCAGGTCCCTGTCTTTTAGGTGAGAGCAAAAGTTTCTTCAGTAAATGTGGACAATAGTTGATTTCCACAATAATATTTAGGCTATAACAAGAGATTTCAGTATCATATTATACAATTATTAACAGCGATGACTGATTTGCCCCATTATATGCAACAAAAACAAATTAGAAGAAAATTGCATTTTACAATATTTTGTGAAGAAACCCCAAACCACAGGAGCGTTATTTTTTGCACAGCACACACACACACATTTTTAATAATCTACCGCTCCACTTAAGTTTTGGGTAATTAAATCTGAAAAAGCTAATCATCCTTTTGAAACTGGATTGTTTGACCTAGTTTAAGTCAAGTGAGTCTGTCTAAACAATACAGTCACATAGAACCTTGAATCATTTTTTACCACAAGTCAGCATTATTGTACACAGTGGGTTCCCTCTCTTCCACAGAGCACCAGATGGTGGTTATTCACAAAGAATATTTTTAGTGAGAAACATCCATCTATTAACTTTAAAGCACAATCAAAAGTTGTAGGTGAAAAGTAAAATCTTCTCATATTGGAGTATATCATCACATATATTGATGATAAAAATTAAGCTTTTAAAATAAAAGAAAAACTGTGAAATGATTATTGATCTGCAGCAGCACAACTTTTTCCTTTTAGCGAATCTACTTAAAAGCATAATCACATATCTGTCACCATGCGCACAGATCTGTTTGCATAGTGAGCAGCTCAGACTTAGTTTAGTTCAATAATTTACCAAAGATTTCCTCCATAAACCTGAACCTACCACGAACCCTTTTGACCCCGTTAATCTGCCAGGAACCAGTAGGTTTGCAATGAGGTCATGAAATGCCATAAATTCCACTCTGCACACCCAACACCCACGTCTGACTGGAAATTAGACAAAAGGAAGGGAAGAGCAGAAAGGTGGATAGATGAGGAGAGTTGTTGGAGAGATGGAAGAAGAACGTAAACACTAAGAGGAAAAAAAGTGGATGATGAGACATGAGGATTAGGTGATGGAGAGACAGTGTGAGCTGATGAAGAGCAGGCGTGCTCCAGCAAATGGAGGGAGTGGGTGGGGACAGTCCATTAGGGTTGTAAATAATCCTGTAACATCTTGATATACTCGAGTGTAGGAAAACAAACAATCAAAAACTTTAGACTGCCGGGACAATGAGACATAGGGACATATTTAATTCCTTTAAATGATAATCCAGGTTGTTATTGCTGTTTATATCACTATTGAACCTCATGTTCTGCTTAATACCAACATATATGAGAGGAACATCTCACACATGCTCTCTGCATGCTCTTTGATCTCTAATTTTAAAATCTAATATGTCATGTATAGCCTCTCAGAATCACCTGAGCCTAATGTTCCAAATGTCTTCTCTCAAACATCTCTTTTTTGTCACAGGAAAGCCATTCACGGGCCAGAGGTACAGCAGCCGCGTATGGGACAGGAGGAATCAGAGTTGTCCTTTGATAAGGAGGTTGAAGGTAGTGTGACACTCACTTCCAGTCAAAACCAGCTGGGGGCGTTGTCACCACTGTCATTGCCCGGTAAGAAATGTATGACAGAAGAAAATGGCTTATTACAAAACGTTTTCTGTCCTAAAAACTCCTCAGTATGTTTCAGTTGTGGCCGTTTTTAAACATATATTAAAGACTAATTAAAATAAAGCTGTCTAAATAGACCTTTTGGAAAAATGTCAAAAATGTTCTTAGAAGGCAATTTGAACTAGATCTGTCCCCGTGAAGTTTTCAGACATGCTCACATCAACAGGAACATTACTGGGGGGGGCAAGCAGGAGGCAGGACGTGACATATAAATTGTTGGTGTTGGTCCTCATCATCAGAAGCTCCGGAATCTCGTTGTTTTTTCTCAGATATTTGTTTTCATCCAGTTTTGCATCTGTCATATATTTGAAACGTCATCAACATGTCCACTCGCTTGCTGACAGACATTTTCCAGCTGTGTCCTCACATGGTTATTTTAGCAGGGGACTGGCAGGATTGAAGAAGAGTGTTAAACATAGACCAATGACTGATTCAGCTGACAAAACTAGTCTTGAATTTTCTCAGGGGACTTTGAGGGATTGGAAATTTCACGGCTCTCACCGAGACTCAGAAGAGACCGGTCGCCGTCACCCAGAAGTCCTTCGCCCCTGACTTTCAGGGCGTTCAGAAGTTCTTCACCTCAGGAAGCCAATCAGGACACAGTGAGCATCAGTTCCTGTCCTGAGATGGTGGGCCGCACGGTGAGAGGAACACAAAGATATTTTTCAGTTTCAACAACCACATCAGACAGTTTGTATTTAACTGCATTTGAAACACTGAATGAACTCAGATTCTCTTTTCAGGGGAGTAAAGACAGCAAGATCTCTACAAAAGGTAACTTATTTTTTATTTTTATGAAAATGTAAAACATTAAGTCAAAATCAGGTCGAGAACAGTGTACGAGTCAACAACTCAAATCCAAGACGAGAGCAAACTGATGAACTATAAAGCCAAAGTAGGACCTATGTGCAGGACCTCAGTATTTTTCTGACGTATTATGTGCCCACAAATGAAAATAACTTACTGTTAATTTATCAATGTTCTAATCAATGTATACAGATTATAGGTCCATTATATGCTACACTAACACCAATGCAAAGGCCATGCATTTGTGTACTTTTTTATTGTTGAATAGAGGAAAAGAAAAGTGAAATAAGAGATAAGGAAAAAAAATACAATCAGACAGCCAGACCATGGACTGTATATACAGATGAACAATGCGTCTCCACTTCCACCCACTATCCAGAAATGAAGCCAAAATATCCAGGATACGAGCGCTGCCATCTTACACATTTGGAGCCGAACTCTTTCACATTCACCCAGATTTTAAAGAATCAAATACATGATTAAAAAAAGACATGAATAAAGTGACACAAAATAAATGTTTTGCGCTGTGACACCTTAGTTTGGTCCATGTCTGTCAGGTGTGATGAGGTGTGCAGGTGGAAGCAAAGTTCAGGTAGTAAAACAAAAGGTCTTGTAGAAAACAAGGTTCAAAAGCAAACATGGTCCAAAAAACTAGGATAGAAGAAACAATATTAAAACTGAAAAAAACATAGAAACATTAGGAACAAAATGACACTGGACGATCCTGAGTGAACGATGTTGACGAGTGAACAACGAGCTGACAAAGGGAAGCACAGAGACTTATATACACAAGGGAGGCGGGGATGATTGAACACAGGTGAAACACATGAGGAACACGTGAAGACAATCACAGGGGCAGGAAACAGGACAAAGACAGGAAGTTAAGCCACAGACACACAAGGAGCATCATTTCAAAATAAAATTGAAAACGGAAAACTCAGGGGAAAAAGCAACCAAATACAAACACAAACTAAAACACGAGGAACACGGGTAAGAGTCAATAAACAAAGAGGGTCCATAATCAAACCATGTCCAACAAAATCCTAACACTTGAAAACAGAACTCAGGTTCATGACAATGTCCCATCCACTAACAAAGAGGAGGCAGGATTTATAACCTACACTCCAGCCACCAGGTGACGATTGAAACACTTTTGGGAATCTGTCATGTTGTCCATCTTCATACAGAGTCTATGGTCCAGATACGACGAAACATCAACTCATGTGTCAAAATTAAACCTTTTTTCAATGCGTCCATATTTCCTGGAACAAGTCAGTCAAAATTCAGTACAATAAATTCCAGCCATTATCATTGTGTGTCATTTCAGGAATGACGACAACGATGAGTCGGCGCCGCGTGTCCTGCCGCGAGCTGGATCGACCCGACTGCGACGGCTGGCTGTGGAAGAAAAGGAAGGAGAGCAGCGTCTTCATCGCCCAGAAGTGGCAGCGCTTCTGGTTTGTCCTCACGGGGCCTTCACTCTACTGGTACACCAGCCAACAGGTGGGCGTATGGGAATGAAATATCATTTTATCCCCTCAAACCAAATGAATGAAGTAGAAGCCTTGAAACCCACATTGACTGTAACTTCTGTGTGTGTTTGAATATATTACTTGAAGCATTTTTTAGATTTGAGGGATGTTAAATGTTTAGAAATAACTTTTACACTTTTATCGACTGCAAAGACTCAGGGTTTTAAGGAGAATTACAACCTTATTGTAGTGCACAAAAATTAGGGATTTCGATTCATTAATTGATAAAATATTAGGATAATGAAGTCAGAATATTACGAAAATAATATCGTAATTGAGAATAAGTTTGTAATTTACAAGAGGAAAAGTTAAAATTTTAGGATAAATATTAGAGAAAAAAGGAGAATGCATCCTCATTTCTGATTTTGATGCTGAAGAGAGGTTGATTTTTAGACGACCCTCCTGTAAAATAACACATATCCTGAAGTTATGACTTTATTCTTGTAATATCACGACTTTATTCTCTAAATCTCTTTTTTTCCCTTTAAGTGGCCCAGATAGTCGTACAAATGCAATGTAAACTAATTATGTTACTGTGTTTTTCTTCCTCAGGATGAGAAGGCAGAGGGTCTGGTAAATATATCCAGCTACAACATCGAGAGCGCCGGAGAACACAAGAGAAAATAGTAAGGATGAGCACAGTAAATATGAACAGGCGTTTTAATATTTGATCAAAGAATACTCAGGGCTTTGTAGTTCATAGATTTGATGAAAGATATGGTGCTGAAATGAGAAACTATTTTAGTCTTTTAGTTTGAAAGAGGAAACTTTATTATCCCTGTGAACATTGGCAGATCAGTTGTTTTGCAAAGTGAATCTTGTGTCACGTGAATTTGTTGAATCCCATTGCTTCTGTGTTTGTGTGTCTACGTCTGCATGTTTTGTGTGTTATGTCAATTCCCCTGTGATGAATTTCTTCTGCTCTGAGATTCACCCCCGTCTCTCTGCTCTGCCTCCTCCAGCGTGTTCAAAATGTGCCACCAGAGGTTTCACAACTTCTTCTTCGCTGCCGACAATGTCACCGACATGAGCAAGTACGTTCAGCCTTTGTGTCCACTCTTTTTTTTCTTTCTATCTCTGTTTCCAGGCTCAGGGTAGTGTGATAATTCAAGTTTCACCAGCCAAACAAAATACATCTTACAGAAATAAGCAGTTGAAAAATGCCTCTGTACAACACTGAGTAATGAATCAGGCTCTAGATTGTAATGTTGTTGGTCTGCACGAGTTCCAATAAAGTGTAGTAGTGTGTTCATTTTACACAGTGAAGATGTTACAGTGATTTACACTTTAACAGGTGTAGGACTGCACTGCCCCCTAGAGGTGACTTTTCAGAAATCTGTTTGTGCTGTTTTCAAATCACTTCTGTTGAAATTGAAATATTTAATGGAATGATTTAAATCATGGGATGTTTTTTCACTTTACTTTCCAGGTGGATAAACTGTCTGATTACATCCATACAGAAATACAAGAAGCTTAGTAAAGGCCCCGATAATGAAGAGGGTAGGTTGACGTTTTCCTTGAACCTGCCACCTTATAACTAAAATGCATCCACTAGAAATATCCCTGTCATGGTTATTTTCATCCAAAAGTCCTCACACCAGAACATCTGTGCATGTTATTATCTATTATCTGTTATTATTATCTAGTGGGGCTTCCTCTTCCAAGTCAAATAATATTTTACCTTTGTACACCCCTCACTTATTTCATTATCAAATATAATTATTGTTAATTTTTAATATCAAATAATATAATATATATGTTTTTAAATATTGTGGTCCTGCAGCTGAAAGAGTCAAGCAGTAAAAAACACGATGAAGTATAATGACTGTTGCTATGGTTACCTGCATCTTAATCTATGATTTTAATCCTTTCAGGAGAAATCAGAAAAGTTGAATGTTGTTCATCACCGATGTTAATACACTGACATGTATTGTTTTGTTGTATCATTAATGTGACCCTGGTGTTATCTGTGGACAGAATGTTACAGTGAGACTGAATCAGAGAGCGAGAGATCTCCTTCACCCCGCAGGAGAAACAAGGTCAGTTCCACACACACACACACACACACACMCMCACACACACMCACACACACACACACACTAACACACAGACACCCTTCAGGGTATCGTCCACATCATGATGTGTTTCGCTCTCTGCCTCAGAAGGGGCAGTCCCACACTCTACCTCGCCCCAAGGGGAAGACGACCAAGGTGCCATTAACAAGTCTTACAACAGGGGGCAGCAAAGGAGCAGGTTTGTGCTATGTGACTCTTTTCTTTTCTCTCCTGCTTTATAATTTACTCCCCCAATGAGTGATGTATTTAATCTGTAAAGACTAAGTCCTATTGATGGATGTTTTAATAATTTCTGTTTTGTTGTTTTCCTGACTTTACCCGGAGGATATTTTCTCCAATCAGCCGTCCACAAATAGATGGTTCATAGCAGCTCTGTGTGTGATTTTTTCAGCCAAATCCCACGGCTCTGTTTCCTGTCTAATTCCAATTGTTTTTCTCCTTTCACTTTCGTGTCTCGCTCGCCTGCGCCTCTTGAGAAGGCGTCCCAGAGGATGAGATGGGCAAGATGTTAAACAACATAAAGGAGGGAGGAGTTTCTCTGATTGGACACGAGCAGCCGTTCACACACGACCACTTCAGGAAGTCGTTCATTCGACGCAACAAGAACCCCGTCATTAATGAGAAGGCTCACACGCTGCGGGCCTTGCAGAGCACTCTGAAGGTGAGGAAGAAAGTCGGCAGTTAATTTAATGTCTAGACACAACATCATATAACAATGAACTTGAATCCTGTATTTTAAAGTGATGCATTTGCTTGTTAAAAGCCTTTATGTTGCTGATAATCATTTAATAAATAGCTTGTGTTTTTTTACTTTTGGTTTAAAGGACTGTTTTGAAGCAAGTAATCAATTTTAGATCAGGGCAGTTAACTTTAGTCTCGGCTGAGGACCAACAATGACCAGGCCTTTTCTATCAGGGCCCCCACTCTTTGAGGAGATCCATCTGCCAAACTCTTTATCCTAAATCTCACACACATATCTGGCTTTTGTCTGCAATGAGAATGTTTTAATTCTGCATTTACTTAAAATTGCTCTGCAGCAGAAACAAGTTTTTGTCAGCTCCAGCTCCAATCGGCGATGGAAACATGAACAAGCTAATTTGGCAAGACAGGGACTTTATCTAATTTTAATTCAGTTTTAATTCACTATTCAGTTTTTCACTATATCATTTTATAATGTTCTATTTTATTTTTCTCATCTGAATTTTTTTTTTTCTTGTATTTGTGCTCTAATGCTGTGTGACCTTCAAATTACTTTTTAATGGTTCCTTTGCTAAATAAAGTTAATTATCATTATCAGTATAACAAATTCATGTTTGAGTGCGTCTGTGTTCTCACTGGAGCTCCTGTTTGCTCTGCAGGCAAAAGAAGCAGAGCTGCAGCAGATCAACAAGGTCCTGGAGGACTCCACTCTGACAGCCTCAAAGTTCCGTCAATGGAAGCATCAAAACGAAGAACTAGTTCAAGAAATCGAGAAACTGACCACGCTCCGTTCCTCCAAAAGCGGGAACGACGCGGCGGTGCAGCACGTGCCCGCTGAGGAGGTTGCCTTGGAAACTGTCGACATGGAAACGGCCGCCACAGAGACGAGAGGCGCATATAGACTGAGCCTGAGCGAAGGAGAGCAGCTAGTGGACGCAGAGGCGTCTGATGTCCTCCTGGAGATCCCACCAGATTCTCCGAGCACAGATACCAGTTCAGTGTTAGAACTCTCCCTGGGGTCGCTGCAGGATTCGATAAACCAGCAGCTGAGCGAGCTGGTGGAGAGCGGAGAGGCTGCCGAGAACTACTTCTACATTTAAGACCGAGCTGATGCAAATCACGCCACTGCAGAGTTGCTCTATTTAACAAAATCAAACAGAAGCTGCTTTGTCATGCAACAGAGTGAGAGGTGAACTTCACTGTGTGGTCTGCTGACGTTCACCTGAAATAATTTGTTAATAATGCCACTAAATCAAGTTTATCAGTGAAATGCATCAGTGCACGCTTCTTATAAGAAACAAATTTAACTTTGTACATGGTCAAAACCAATATGACGAGTTTACAGCAGAGAGATGGACAATATTTGCCAAGTGTTGATCTGAGTTCAGCATATTTATGGGATTCTAAGGTCGTGTTGTTCTAGTGATAAAAACAATATCGAGTAGAACTTTTCTTAGAATTCAATGATAATTTGTAATATAAATCATGCCTCTTGTACTAATGTGACATGTAAATACACTTTTACTATTGATGCTGTATGTATTTTGTTTATTACCTTAATAAAGGTGTAGATTTGAAATATTTTGCACAGAAAAATAACTTCAGAAACATATTTGCTGTTGCTCCTTTTTGGTCAAAGTCCTTTTTGTGCTTCTGCTGTGTGTGTGTACATGTGTATGTATGAACCATAAAGCAGAGCTGTGTGAGTGTGTTCCTCATTTCCCGAGTCACACGAAGACTCCTGAAGATGCTGAGATGTTTCTGACGTGACCCCGCTCCTCATCGCTGTAACCTTCACCGGCTTAGTAAAGAGGAAGCAGGACCATCACAGAATTGTGTTGTGAAGTTCCACCATTGTGTCTTCAGATATTATTATCAAATACTGTTAATGTGTTTGAAGCATATGTACACAGTCAGATGTGCATGTTCATGTCTTTTGTGCCCGAATTTCAGCCGATCAAGACTTTTTTCTTTTATGATGTTAAAGTACCGAGTGTATTTTATGATGTTAAAGTACCAAGTGTATTTTATGATTGAGTTTTCAGTAGAAAACAAACACACACTTAAATAAATACTTTAGATACAAAGTCAATATGAGTGAATACATTTTCCAAACTAAGTTTATTTCAGTGCAAAATGCCCCTTGAGCTCAATGAGTCACATTTACTGATGGAGAGAGCTAAAGTGTCCTTTCAGTCATCAGGTCTTTATCTCTTAATGTAGTGTAACTCAGAACACAGGTTATTCAGCAGTAGCCTTGTGGGCTGTGCGTCGGCTGTGATGATCTCTTTGCCTCTCAGCTTTGTGTGGACACGATGAATGAGAGTGTAACAGCCTCAGCCTCATTATGTTCAAGTGTAGCACATAGAGAGCTGTAAGGTTTGATATCCATGAGACACTAAGTAACGAAAGGTGTACAGTGTGCACATTCATGCTGTATGGATAATTAATTATATATAAATATGTGTGAGTACATATTAAGTAATTTTTAATGTATTTATGTAGATAAAAAGTTATTTTTCTGTATCCTGAGAAAAGAAAATTGTTGGACCACCTTTACAAAATTACTTCAATTGCTAACATGTGAAATGAATTAAGTTTGTTCAAGTTATAACTTTAAATTGAAAAAACTTAATTCATTAGTTACCAATTGAAGTAAACATACTAATAGTGTATTTTGAATCTTATAGATGGATAGATAGATAGATGGATTACATAAGACAGCAAATTTTTTACATTTTTTATTCATTGCAGATTGAACCATCAAGTATGAACTCACTATAACAAGTTAACAACAGTTATCAACAACAAATAATTTACAAAGATAAACAAGACCCTGTTGTCCACTTCAACCCCTTTTCTCCCAGTTAGAAATGTCAGTTCGATGAAGGCTCCTCAGTGAAGGTATCATACGAAGATTTACCCTGACAGACGGCAAACAAATGAGCATTTAACAGTTTTCTTTTTCATCGAATGTACAGTGACTGAATCAAAAAACATCAAAAAGCAGATTTCACAAATTTCCATGAACAAATAACTTTAAATGACAAATTACAGATGAAATTCAGTTTCATTAATGCCACATGTATCTAATGAAATGAAATGTATGTATACATTTCCACATGTCACAATTAAGTTCAGATACAAACGGGGTCATGTTTCTCTCTAACAGTACAAAGGCATGGCTACAACGTGAGAGGCAGCACAGCGATGATGTCATTCGTGTTTCTCTACATGTCGCAGTTCAAGGCAGCAGGAAGTTGAGCTCACAATGTTCTTAATGAATCAGTAACAATCTCTGTGCTCCGTGATTCATCTCTCTGGAGTTTGCACCCACAAATTAAAGTCTCTGCCGACTTCAAGACGTAATTACATCCAACAAGTTCATACCTGACGTTAAGAGTCCAGTAATCAGGAAGTGATAATGTTCTGTGGTTCACAGTTTATCTGACTCATTCCATTAGGTGGTAGATGAAAAAAGCTAATGGGTTGGGAGTGCCTTTAAAAAGTGGCCACATGTCACTATATGTGCACCATTAAATCTGGCACTCTAACAGGTGACTTCGTATACATCTGTGTCTGCCTTGTTGGTGATGTCTGGAAATGAGCGGCACGCTGGGCACACGGGCACCTCAGGGCAAGATGGGCAGGGCAGACATCTTGGTTGTTTGAAGCTGAACAGCAGAGCGCCACCCCCCAGCACCTGCAAACACGACCCCAGCCACCCAAAGTAAAGCGAGCCAGCAGGATGCAGGCTGAGGTGGGGGGACTTGTGGTGATTGAGCCCTGGGCTCGGAGCCGCCAGCCCCAGCCTTCCAAGGTTGTGTGTGTACACCCCCAGGGCAGTCAGGCTCAGCAGGCCGGCCATCACCACCAGGAGCCCCCCTGTGGCTGCGACGCCCCTCAGAGGCAGATCTGTCCAGCACCGGACCCCGATGCAAGCCAGGACAATACCAGTGCCGCAGAGGAACAAGGAGGTCAGGATCAGACCTTGCGCCAGGCGAACCCGGGGGTCCCTCTGGTACGGACCCGCCACAGGCCAGCACTGCTTCAGCTCAGAGTGCTCCACCTGCAAGCAGCTCTCCCACAATCCATCAGAGCGCAGCAAGAGCAGAGACTCCGCTGACTTGACCCCCATCCCGTGACCTTTGACGCCAGGTCGAAGAAGTGACCCCGGCCCTGTCATTCCCAGACGCGCCTGTCCCTCTCTCCACTGGGGGGTGATGGCAGCGGTGAAGACAAGGACCAGTCCCAGAGGGGAGAATACGATCCCCATCACCATGGAGGCTGGGGTTTGCATCATTAAGGGTACAGCCCTAATTCTTTTTATTGATTTATTGATGTTAAGAATAACTCTCGAGTTTTCTGCAAAAACGAAACAGTACCTGTTCAATGTGCTTCCCAGTGTGAGTATTTTCGTAAAAAAGTCGAGTGTGGCTGCTCCTCCTGCAGACGGAGATGCTGCTCGTTATTACCACATGTCAGTGTCATGGGGGCTATCAGAACTGAGTGGATCAAATCTCTTGTTTTCTCTCTCACATCGAAGAAAAGTCCAGTCAAGGTTCTCAAAAATCTACTCCGACCAGTCACTGATGATGTCACTGTATCTGCAAGGAAACAGAAAACATGCAAACGTCAGATGTATTCTGCATAAGAATAAAAAGGTCAACACAAAGATGAGAATATTAAAAGTTCCACAGAAAAATGAAGCATAATAAAGTTCATCCATTACCTCCTCCTGGACTCTCTCCTGCCTTCTCACTGACGACTCCTCAGTCAGAATGAATGAAAGAGGAAGACAGGTATGGAAGGAGGTGTGTGTTGCACTGAAGTGATGGAGCGAGAGGAAGACAGAGACATGAGACGAATCAGAGGTGTGAATTCAGAGCAGAGACAAGCCTCCGAGCAGCCAGAGTCGGAGGTCTGGCTCCACTGCTCCAGCGCTGGACAGGATAACACTGAATGCTCGATGCCTGTCTCTGTTGCTAGGATACGACAACCTGGGCAGTCTCAGCATAACAGGGTGTGTGTGTGTGGCTTTATTTATCGCAAGAACTAGTTAGACTCTTCTCTATGCAAAAGCTAACAGCCTTGTGTGCACAGATGGTCGCATAATGATGTGTGTGCTGCTTTTTACTCAAAGCCTGATGGGTGATGGCCACATTTGACCTTGGAGGAATTTGGCTGTTTAGAAACTATGAGTCCAGCCTGGAGGAGGGACGGCAGACTGGAGGATGAGCACCAGACACTTGTGAGTGTGTGAGGGTCTCGTGCAGAACCACACACAAACACAAGCTGCTGTAGACGATGAGATATATTTTATAATAGAACTACAAAACTGCTGAGCTGTAGTTACTGGAATATTTTAAACCATACCAATCACATTGGTATTCCTTTATTTGTGGCAAAATGCTATATCAGAATATATATATATATATATATATATATATATATATATATATATATACTTTCTTATATGTACTTTCTTGTTCACTTCACTTCATGTGATCAATAGTGTGAAATTCCTTCTGAAAATGTCAGTTGAGGATCAAATAACAACCAAGGATAAAATATATTCTAGATATTTACTGGAAGACGGTAGAATATAATAATAATAGATTTAGAATAAAAGAGAAGGGAATACATGTCTGGATTTTGAAGGCATGGAAAAAAGAGAAGTGGATTTTGATCAACACATACCTGTGTTCATGTGTCATATGTCTAAAATAAATAAAAGTCCACAATGGAGTTTCCTGTTTTGCAAATGAAATGTTTTACTGACGGGGAGGAGAGAATCTGAGCCCTGACCTGCAGCTGAGAGGATTTCAACCACTGCTCTGCATGATCGAGTCTCAGCTCATCCGTGGTTCAAAGCATGTTGTGCACAGGTATCACTTGTTACTCTTTATTTCTTCCTTGTTTTTTCAGGTTAGACAACAGAGCTTTGTGCGTTCCCCCGTTTCATCTCATTTAGACCAACATCAAACGCCGCCCCTGCCAAGTTCAATGCCACTGCAGTGATTTATTGTAAATCACGAGATGCCTGATTGTGTGTTGATGCAGAAATGGAGAGAGAGTGGAGGTGTGGGAACATCTGCAGAGGCTCGACACAGAAGAGGACGTTAGTGCCCTCATCACTTTCTCTCACATTTTGGGCGCCTGCAAACACATGCTCCCCCCCAACACACACACACACACACACACACACACACACACACACACACACACACACATATAGACAGCCCATGAAGTCACTTACCATTCAGGAGGGGTTGTGTGTATCTTGCTGCAGATCTGCGGCTGCCTCTCTGCTTCCTTCTGATGAATGGTGAACATGTTTCTCTCTCTCTTTCTCTCAGGCAGCAGATGGTGCAACTACGTCTTCATTATTCCTGCTCCCTCTCTCTCCCTCCTCATCTCTGGCTTTGCTTCAGCAGTCTCCCCACCTCTCTCTGTCGTCTCGTTTCCTCTGTCTTGATGTCTCTGTTTGCGTTTGTCCTTGTGTCTCTGCCTCTTTCCCTTTTTCCCTGCTGCCTCCCCGGCTGTCTGCGTCTCGGTTTCACTTTGTGTGTGTGTGTGTGCCTCTCTCTTTGACGTACTGAAGGATGTCTGTGTTATATCTAGGATGGAGTGTTTTGTTGCTTTTCCTGACAGTTTCACCAAATAGGGGAAAGCAATGAGCTTTTCCATCAATGACAACACTTTCAACATGTGTGCTGTCTATTTTGAAGGAGATGCTACAACACCAAAACACGATTCTGTGTGTTGTCTTTTCATCTGCATATTAACACAACCCCTCATCTTAGCACCTAAACACACACTAATGAATGAATGAATTATTCAAGGGAAACATTGAAATGAAATATATACATACATATATAATGATTTCTGAATTCGACCCCTGCTCCAGATCCTCACCAAAATATCATCCCAGATAACGTACAGATTTTGGCCACTTCAGGCAATGAATCGACAGCCGAAAATGGGCCACTTCAGAAAAGCAAATTTGGCCCAAATTTCCCCAAACCAACTGTATTTGGCAAACATATAGTATAGGTAAGATGTAACCTGGGTGTTAACCTAAAATGTATTAAATAATGAGTATGGCCCAAAAAATAGCACAAAACAAATCCAGACCACCTTGGGAACCTTTTGGTTTCATGCGGTCCCAAACCTCATCCTTCCGGCCTGTAGTTTTTGTGTAATCTTGCTCACAAACAAACAGCAACAACCAAACAGACATGGTTGAAAACATAACTTCATTGGCGAAGGTGAAAATTACAGAAAATAAGATCAAATCCAAGTGAAGATGAGTTTCATGCTTAGTGCTTGATCGGCAGGGAGAAGACAGAGCAATCAGCTGATTCTTCATTTCCAATATGCACTTCACCACAGAGGTTAATTACAACTGTGCACACACACACACGCAGGAAGTGCTCTCATTATTGTTTTCTTTTTATCCATTGACAACTGATCCTGGCAGGAGCCGACATTTCCATCAGATCTCCACACGTGTAATAACTCCACAGAGGCCACAGAAGCTCTGATGCATTTTCTTTATTTTCTTAAAAAACAGGGCAAGATTTGACTAATACAACCAGAACTGCCGTGGGATAATAATGAAATAATACAGGGATACATGTTCGCTTTGAAATGATGCGTAACATACAAGGAAAAAAAATCCTACTACTCTTTAACACACACATGCTTATCACACACATACCATGAAAGTCTTCTGGCAGGCCTCGGGGGGGTGTTTGAAGTGTTTCCAGGAAGAATCAGTGGTTACACCATACAGTCAAGAAATGCCTACATGCAGCTCCGGCTAAAACGATGGCCAACACTAACTCTCTCGTGGCTTTTACGGGTAGAAATGTGTGACTTTAGGTTCTGAATGTTACCTGGCGCCGGGTCGTTTTAGTCGTGAAACTAACAGGAACCTAGAGGAGGATACTTTTGGCAGTGAAAAAACGTTGTTACCAGGATATGGGTGAGAAACGCACCATCGGCTCTTGCAGAAGAAATGATGAGTACACTGAAAGCAGCAAGGATAGCAACCTCTGAAAATGCTGAAAATACGCCGTGCACATATCACGCACAGGGCTCTGTCAAAAAAATTGAAATACATAGCAGTTTGTGGAAAATGGATTTCAACATGCACCTGGCTATAGTTCATAAAACACTGTCATATTACAATCTATTTACATTATATATGTACAGGCTGTTCATTATAAATGCTCTTACGTTATAATATTAAATTCTAATAAAAAATCATAAGAAATGGGACATGGTATTTACAGACTTGAGAACGGTTTGACATTTTCATGAGGAATCAGAAAAACTGGCGATGTCCCTTCAATCCAGTTCTTGCTTTGGTTTCGGCAGCTCACATAGTCTCTGATTGGGCAGTGCTTCGAGAGGTGGCAGCTGTGATTTCTTTCTTTTTCTTCATCCTTCAATCGAGCGGGCAGCCGACATGTTCTCATACTTCGACGAGGGTGACCTGGAACTGACCGGAAACCACCTCCGACATCTCGATGAGGAAGGCCGACTGGTTGGTGTAGTGTTCGATGATGTTGTCGTCCATGTTGACGTAAATCCTGAGGAAAAGATCAAGGGGGGGGGGGGGTTAAAAATCAGCGAGGCACAGAGAAGTGAGACAAAACATATTCCTCTCCAAAAAACTAGACCATGCAAATTAGTTTGTTCTGTACTTTTCACTTGCATGTGACCAAATCCCTGTGAATGTCTCCGCTGTGACTTAGGCATTTGTTTTATGGAAAGCCTGTCACGTGAAAAACACAGTGATAGCATATCTCCTGCATCAGGAGGAGCAGTAAATCAGGTCACCCTCCTCCTCTCCCTCCTCCTCCTAACCTGTATGTCTTCAGGGCTTTAATGTCTGAACTAACTTGGTGCATTCTGCCTGCAGGGTTGAGGCTGATTAAAGACAAGAGCAAGTAAAGGAGAGGAGGGAGGGAACTGCAGCGGAGAATGCAACCCAACCTGTTGGCTTAGCTGCTCCCGATGTGGCGATAGCTGCCAGCAAGTGACAGAAAAATAATCCAAAGGTGTTGCAGCCTCCTGTCTCTCCTCTGAAGACAGGGCCCTCAGATTTCCTCTGTTGTTTCAGAGGCAGCGACCATTTGACTGAAAGAGGTCCGGCAGATGTGGTGTGAGGATATTTGGAAATTCAGATTTCTAAGCCCCCTCTAAAATGTCTAACGTTGTTTAAGAAAAATTAATGAATATCTTTTAGTTTTAAAACAGAGCACCCAATCCAAAGAACTCATCACCCTTTGTCAGTAGTAAAACTTAATAGGAAGACGACAGTTGCCAGAAACCTTTAATTAAACCAGATATCTCTTTCAACAGGGACCTTTCTGATAGTTCCAATGAAATGAGCTCACGGAGACACAAATAAGCAAACAACAATCGCCCATGACTCATCCACAGGATTTCTCAAACGTCTTTATCCTCCTTCAGTCACCTGTCCTTTTATTTTTTTGAGGAGCTGCAATTAACAAATTCCATCAGGCCCAGCCAAGTAACCAACCTACCGACCCGGTCTGTCAACCTCTGCTTCCTCAGAGCAGGAGGACGAGTGAGAAAACACGACCTGAGTTTTACGCTTGTTGTCCGTGATGAATACATGGTTTTAATCTTGTGTGTGTTGAGTCAGCTGAGCATTAGAGGTATAAAAGAAAAAACTGAACTAAGACACTCACCCTCTCTTGCATTTTTTGTAGATTTTCCCAATGGTGTCTTTTTGCACGCCATACTTTTCTGAGATCTGAGGAAGGAGGGACATGAGAGCACAGTTAGCATGACAGTTCCTTCAGACAGAAAGATGATATGCTTTTACACATACTGTGAACAGATAATGCTGTGTTTATCAGAATAAATTAATATATAGATAAAAAATAATAAATGTAGAAATGAATAAAATAATAATATTAGAAATTATTGAATAAATGAATTGAATAATTTAAAACTAATTAATTAATTAATGTGGGCTGAGAAAACAACTTTTTTTGATCCCAAAGTATAAACTGTGATAAAAAAAGGCTTTTTCAAATGTATTCATGTACTTGGTTATTTATATCTGCATAATTATTATTGTTATTTTTTGTCTTTCATACAGATACAGATCACACAGATCAGGAATGTGTCTAAGGATGGATTTGAGTAATATAATTCAAGAAATAATGAATAAAAAGTAAATTGAATCATGAGTCTAATTCATACTCACAGCTTCTTGTAGGCCCGACACTGTGGGCGAGCTGAGCATGAGCGCATCAAACACCTCCTCTACTCCTGACCTCACGTACAACAGAACTAATGAGAAGAGAGAACAGAGGAGAAAAACATTTAGATGACAAATGCTCAATAACGATAATTATTCTCATCATCAGACTGTCAGAGTTTTCATCTACCTCTCTGTGGGTCTTCTCTGCGGGCCTGCTTGCTGGGTGGGGGGCTGCTCTGCTCTCTGTCGGGGTACAGCCTCTTCAGAGAATTCCTGGCAAAAAACAAAATAAAGTCACGTTAACACAAAGCAGACGACTTGGCATCTTTTTAAAAATGAATTATCACAGAGGACTGTTGACTTCTACTATCGATGCTTACCTTTCTGCCTCGTCCATGGGAGCGGCCTGGAGGGAGACAGACAGAAACAGACATCTGATTAGACTTTTAAACTCCACAGTGTGATTCCCGGCATTATCTGAGCAAAACGCCTTCAAATAAAGGAATGTTATCATCACCCATAACCATGGAAGAGAAGCACATGAGCGTGGACACTGATGGAGAGATCCAGCGCTTTATCACACCGGCCAATCACAGACAGGAAGTACAGACTGTTGGGCTATTGTGTAATAAGGTCCTTTTTGTTTGCTTAAGCATGTTTTTTTGTTCTTCTAATGTCTCTTTGGCTCTTTACACACACACACACATACACACACACACACACACACACACACACACACACACACACACACACACACCTCCACACTCCACTGTGGGAAAGCTGGCCTGTCTGAACACTCCTTTCGCTGTTTGTGTGTGTGTGACTGAAAGAAAGCGAGGGTATGAGGGTGGTGCTTTCTGAAAGTCAGGTGTCTGTGTGCTGCTGCTGCCTCACCAGGTGTGTGTGTGTGTGTGTTTCCGTGTGAGCCCCTATAGCTTAATCTCAGTGTCAGTAGCTGTAGCAGCTTGTAGTGGTGCCTGGTTTCGACTCCAATTAGCTCATCTCAACTCAAGTCGGTGCCTCACTTTCACTGACAACGTCCCCTCCTCCCCCCTTTTCCCAACCCACTGCATACTTTCCCACAGGTTTTTCCCAACTCTCGCTCTCTCGTGCCTGTCCTACTGCCTGCAGGGATTACGAGGCAGGAGGGGGGCGGTGGATCAGGAGCAGGACAGGAGAGGAGAGGAGAGGAGAGGAGAGGAGAGGAGAGGAGAGGAGAGGAGAGGGGAGGAGAG